GCTGCGGGGGCTGCCCGGGGGCTCCCCTCGCCGGGGCAGTTTCCAGCCAAAACTGGTGCCTTTCCCCGTCCTCCCAGACGCTTTACCTTGTGGGTATCCCGCCGTGCAAAGTATTGATGGGCGTTTCAATGCAATAGTTTAGGTTGGAAGGTGTCCCTGCCCATGGCTGGGGGGTTGGAACTAGTCTTTAAGGTCCCTTCCAACGCAAACCGTTCTGTGATTCCATGAAAATACCTTTAAGATCAAATCAAACTCTCCTAATATAAGTGTTCCAGTTCTGTGCACGGTGTTCCTCTGTCACACGCTTTCGTGCTGGTTGCTTACCTGTTAAGATGGTATAAAGTTGAATAAAGAGAACATGTAAAATTTCCTTTACCTCTCAAAAGTTAACAGATAAGTTTTGTTGCTTTGTCTTAGCTTCGTTTTCTTTTCCATAAGCTGGTTTTACATGATAAGCTTTGTTACCGTTAATAGTTGAAGACAGATTGCATAGCCGTAAGTCATGCATTTGCTGCATAGGGACCTTGATACTAACTGCTTAAAGGAAAATTAGAGTAACAGATGAGAGTAAAGAGTTGTTTTAACTATAGAAGGTCAAATTCTGAATGATACTATCCATAATTCCAACTTTTAACAAATATAATAATTATCATAGAGAACAACATTTTTATGTTTACCCTCATGTTTTTCCAGTATAGGACTGGTGTATACCATCGGTGCAAAACACAGCATGGAATGTTCAGATATGAAGCATATTTCAGATTCTTCTTCACACCATCACAACATGAGTAAAACACACGTTCCTCAAAATGTACTCATGCAGCCAGGTTTTCATCCTGCAAATTGGAAGAGGCCATCTGTAATGGAAGAGAGCTTTGCCTTAAGCCTAACCGACTCCCAGGAGTCTGACTTGGAAAGCCTTGTTCGGGAGAGACAGTATCAGTTAGAACTCCAGCATCGCATTCATGAAACCGCGGAGCTGGTAGGACTGTATTCTGATGAACTGGAGGATGACAGCTTAGAGGAAGATGGCTTGGAGGAGATGAGTTTAAAAGAACAAGATGGAGCTGAATGTGACACAAATGGATATACAAGTGGAGTACAAAAGGATGGTGGTAATAGAAGGTAAGGCATAGGATTTCAGTAGATGAAGTGGAATAGTTTTGACATTCTGAAACTGTACATTCCTCAGAATATACATGACATCCTCAGGACCAATTTATATTGCCAAAGCACTATTAAGAGCACCTATGGACCTAGTTACACACAAAGGTGCACTGTTTCATCTTAGCCACGTTCATAATTATTATATCCATTTCCACATAGCCTCAGCTGTTCATTATGTTGGCTGAAACACCAGCGTAGGAGGGTAAGATGGAAAAGAAAACATCCCTCACAGACCTGTATAGGGTCCCCACATACTGGTTCTAGGCACTTCATACAGAGGCAAATGCTACATGCCTATTTATTTGCCCCTAAAACAGGCAGGCAAGAAGGTAGGAAGTGGTGACAAGATACACGCTAACCCCTGCTTGTAAACATTACCAAGTAATGAGGGAGCATTTAACTACAGTTTCTCTGGAAAAGGCCTATTAAATGTTGGTCCCCTCTTATTCCTGTCTACTTGATCCAGACCTGCAGGCACCGAAAGGAGTCTGATGAACAGGCACTACAAGGTTTAGCAGTACGTGCTGGCTACCATCTGAAGTAGGCAACCACGGCTGTGCTGCTGTCAGACCTTCAGGTGGTGCAGCAGCTCTGAGATCATGGGCTAGAGGGTTTCTGGAGCTGGGCTGTGAAAAAGGACCAGAGAGAAAACAAGAAGCGGTACTGACATATCCTCTTTTCATTCCTTACAGGAAGACCTGTGCTGAGCAAACCAGGCCACTTCCTGTAAGAAAACTTAGAGGCAAAAATTGGGTTGAATAAATGCAGTTTTGTCCTTAAAGCTGTATAAAGCTAAAATTAAAATTTCCAGAGTTACTGTCACCTTTAAACATTCTTTACTTGATACACAAAATAAAACTTAATTTGCTGTCATATGCATGAAAGGTTTAACACTGTATAAATTTGGCATAATTCTCAAGTTTAAAGGGATTAAATTAAACCCGAAGTAATAATAACGTGCAGTTTCAAATTAATTGTCTACTTAAAATAAAATGGCAAACAAATGAAGGCTAAATGATTAATAGCATGCTTTTATTCACCTCCTCAACAGGCAAAACGGCCAGTTATTGAATATTTTACTGTGAGTGCAAATGATGTTAATTGTACTAGAAACATGCTCTAATTTTTAGTAATTTTTTTGACTGAATACTATGCTGAATATGAGGCTCTTCATTAAATGGAAATTTGATTTTATTTTGTTTGAACTTAGCCTAGTAAGTACTCAAATACAGTCCATTAACCAGAGCAAATATCACAGCATATACATATGAAACCCCCTCTCTACATCCATTACTAACCTCGGAATTTGAAGAGGAAACGCTGCATCTGTTGTCTACCTACCACACTTTTGTTGATGAGTACAGAGTCCATCTAACCTGTATATCACGCTGGGGGGAGGAATAAAAGGTGCACTTTTTGTCTGCAGATGATTAGAGATGAAGGAGCTCTTCACACTCGTTTTGTTCCCATGTGGTGACCTGGCCTGCATAATACAATTGGGCTGCTGTGCACACATTTCAGCACAATAGAACTCTTTATCATTACACTCTGTTATTTGAATCATTGCAATTATATCACATATTTCTGTACTCATTTCAAAATATGGTCACCTATTTCTGTTTACCTGTGGTGTAGGACAGCTAGGAATAAGAACGTTTTCATCGGTGTAAACTGTCTAACCACTAGTGTACAGAATACCACGGCACCAATGCTTACCTGAAATGAAAAGCATTGCTAGAGAAACAGATTATTTTATTATTAGGAGCCACTTGAAATGTACGCATAGGCATGTAACTAATTTAGAAAGGATGAATAAGTGGTGTATGGAAATGTTAATATAATTAACTATGCCGCAGTTTGGAGAATCCAGCAGATCAGTACATTTCTTCTAACAGGGGCTGAAGAGTCAACCAGATTTCAGTGCCTACAAACGGCACTTTGAAAGTCTCATCGTTTGTCAGTGTCCAAGAAACCAGGACGATACTGTAGGTCCAGTTAAGAAAAAACAGCGTTAGAAACTTTTTTCTCCCACACTCCTTGCTCTTGCCACTGCCCACGTCTCCTGGAAGCCAATTTGGATGTATTTGGCTCCTGCGGTTGGTTTTCCTCCTGTTGGATCAGACTGTAAATCATGAATAGAATCAGTTGTGGGGTTTTTTTTAAAGCAGACCGTCTTTGTTTGCATTATGACAAATGTAGTTCAAACCCACAAACCTTTCTGATCTATGTTTTTCTACTCTTATCTCAGTTACAGCCTGTGTTTAAGGAGAGGTTACCATGATGCTTCATAGGAATGAGAAGAGAGCAAAAATACAGAGCTGTAGGCCGTTCTTGCTCAGACAGTTTTGACATTTGAGAGGGGGATTTTACCAGGAAAATTGCTTTTCTTTCACACAGCAGTCTTTAGGAATGAGCCACACATGCTCTCTTTTGTAGTCTACGTCGTTCTAAAGGAAACAAGAGGCAGTATGTTGTAATAATTTCATCTTGTAGTTGATTCTACTACTGCTTATGACTTCTATGCTAAGTTTAGGATAAGGACTGTATCTGAATGTTAGGCTGGTGTATTATTTCCTGATAATGGAAGTAGAAAATGAAGAGGAATTCCTGCCTAAATTTTCTACTAAAAACATGTTTGATAAAACTGTTCTGATCCCGATCCCACAAACAGCCGTACTGTATGCACTCACATAATTCAGCTGACCATATTGGCGGGGCATTTATTGGCTGAAATTACACACTGAACAAAACGTAGAATTTATACAGTTTATGCATAGATAATTTTGTGTTTCTTTTTTAAATAGTAAACAACAGCCTGTGGACAAATATTTTGGCCTAAGGTACAATCCTAATTGGAAGTACGGAAAAAGGGCAGCAGAATTTTCTCAGGCAGAAAAAGCATGTCAAGTTGCTGGAGAAAGCAGTGTGGACTTTGCACAAGATTCGTTTTACCTCCATTCCAGTAGCTCCCCAGAAGAAAAGAATCAGCAGAAGGCAACGTCACAACATTCATTCTCAGCGCTGGGTACAGAATTACAGAGCTTTTGCCAACCAAATGGAGTGGTCAACAGTGAACCTTTTAGGCTACACACCGAAGGGATAAAATCTGCAGATGTCCATCATTTCAAAGATCATCACAGTACACACAGCAGTGCTTTTTCTCTTCAGATTCAAGATGATCAACCACAAAGAGAAAAAAAAGACTTCGTGGAAAAAAATAAACAGACTTTGGGGTTACAGACAAAGATGAGCTCCTATTTTCAGTTACACAGTAAAAAGCAGGAATTTCTTCAAGAGCAGGTAGGTAACTTTTACTTTTCTAACTGGTATAAACCGAGGGCTGTCTAATGTTAAATTTGAATAGCTGCATGATCATGTTTGCAGATGAGGTAAGCAGATTTACAGTCATGCAACTGATAACTTAGGATTTCCACTGAGAATCTTCTTCACCCTTTACGGAATAACTGGCAAGTCCCCAGTTACTCACAACCCCAGTGATGACCTTCTACGAGCCCAGTTAAGCTATGTGTATTCTCGGCCATGAAGCATTTCTGCATGGTCACAGAGGTGATCTCTCTCTAGTTTTTAATCTTGATGCTAAAGAAATGCTGTCTTCCTTCCTGTGGCATCTACACTGCCCCTTATCAGGGGTTCTTTTTTTGCTGCCTCCGATTTTTCTCTGCTTGGCCAACATGAATTTGGTAACGATTGTCTCTGCTGATAGCATATTCCAAGCTTTGTTCAATGCAACAAATGCAAATTGTTTCTAACAGCAGAACACTCACCATTTTTTAACTTCAGTAGAAAACCGTGATGTCACCATTTGGCTTAAAGAGCTGTGTTACTGGTTTTCCACCCACATTGATAATTAAAAAATAATTGTATGTGAAGTTACAATTAAGAACCAGAAAGCACATTGTGGGCATAATGCTTTCAAGGGCTACACATGCTCTTGCTTATCACTCTCGTTTAGGGCCACCCAGGTAGGAAAATCGATGAAAGATTTGTCAGATTTAGGTGCCCAGAAAACCCTTTCACCTCACTTGCTTTCTCAGCCTGACCAAACCATATATCTAAAATCAGTCAGCTCATAAAAGTGAGCTACAGTACTTCGATTTGAAGTGCCTAGCTTTCTTGTGATGGATTGCAGCGACTTGTATTAAGGATTAAGTGGAAATGTAATTACACTTCCTAATGAACGATTATACATGAGTTTGTTGCTTTTACTTGCTACTTATTATGCATAATGGGAAAGTGGGAGTCACTGAATGACTCCACGAGTTGTAGCATAGAAAATTCTTAACTTGCAAAACTACCGAGACTTTCTGCTTCAAGTGACACGTTTTCCAAGGCTAATGAACAGTTGACACAACACTAGAGGGCATCTACTGACTACATTACAATGAGCGTTAACGGTGGACAAGCTTTTTTCTAGCAGAGCTATTAAGAGCACTTGTTTTTTTCAGTTATAATTTGGTTGATGGTAAAAATAATTAGTGTAGATTGATGCTAATTGAAGCTGCGTTGATATGATTATGTTTACTATTTGGGGAATTCTGAAAATGTTTCATATGTAAGTATTGGAGCCAGGGATCAGGACTTCGTTGTGTAGACACTATTCAAAGGTAGGTAATAGAAAAAAATAAATCTGTTAAAATCAGGGCTGTGTTCTAATATTACCTTGCAGAAGCAGCCATGGGGACAGCAGAGCTGTGGCAGAGAAGGAGCCAGGCAGCTTGCGTGTAGAAAGGTGCGTTTCTTTCCTCAACTAGTTGATACAGCAGCAACAGCATCACCACCTACTGTCAGCTAGCTTTGTATTTGCTGCAGATAGGCATGGTAAGACCTACCTGTCTTGTTCTTAATCGAGACATCCATTGCTCCGTATTGCTGGAGGGTGTGAAAGAAGGCCTGACGGAAACATTTTGTTGACCATAGCATGAGCCAAATTTGGTCACCTCACCTAGAAAACTCTATCAAAAGTGTAAAAACACCAAGTATGCAAAGAAGTAAACAAGCACATGTCTTCTGCTGGAGCAATCAAACACGTTCTGAATGCTGTTTTTTCCTAAATTGGATTATTCTGAGCTCTGTGGGATGTTGAGGCTGTATTTATCGATACAATCACTGCTGGCTGTCAGGTACTGTGGTAGTGAAATAGTGTTTACGTTGAAGTAAGCACTTTGCATACAGCTTTTTTCACCCTATGTAACGATAGGCGAAATACCTGCAACCTCATTCTTGCAAGACTTACGGCTGTTATCTCTGTGCATACAGACAGCAAGCAGGCTGTATGGACAAAAACATACCATAAATGTGTGTTGATCTGTATATTTACTAATTTATATAGCATTTGCTAAAGCATCAAGTTCTTTGCAGTGTTGCCTGATTCTTTAAGAACCTGATGATGGGTTTCTTTGAGAGAGAGAAAGAGAGAGAAGTAGTGGCCCAATCTTGCTCAGCTGTACTCAATATGAGTTGCTTTCCTACCTACAAGCCCCTTACTTCAAAGCAAGGAACATAATGTACAATTTTTTAATGGCTCTAGACCAAGGCACTCAGACTCTCTGTGCACTGCGCCTTACCTCAGTGTAAACACCTAATCAAGATTGCCTGCGCTTCAACAATAGCAGCCAAATGCAATTCGAGAACCACAAGCCTTTGAAGTCCTCACTGCAAAGGCCGGTTTTCTAGTCTGGGATAATGACATGCCATGATTGCTGTCTTTGTTGTATCTTTTCAGTAGAGAAGCAATTATGGGCCTCAATTTAACAGAATAGGCATTACACAGCTTATGATGCTCAAAATGCAATTTCATTTGATCATTTTCTCAATTTGATTGGTATTAATAGAATAGTTCACAAAAAATGCTGGCAGAGGTTGTGTCCTGTTCCTCTTTCAAAGAGATAATGTAGAAGTATGCTTTACCTGCCCAGTAAACTATCAATACAGTGAGTCACTTGGTTCCACCAAAAACATCTTACTGACTGCAAAGCTCTATCTATCCACAGTCCAGGAAACCTGTGTGATAGCTTTTAATTTGTGAATATTTCTAGTCAGGACTGATAGAACGTGCATCGCTGTTAGGAGCCATGAGATCACCTGAAAACTCAGCAATAGACCCCACCTACCTTTTCCTAGTTGTCCTAATCCCTCAACCCCAAAGATGAGAGGCTGAGCTCCCCAGAAGTATTAAACATTTCCTTCACACTGATTTCACCATTCGGTTAGTAAATCTTTTGGTCACGGAGATCATTTCAATGCAAGTTCTCCTGTGTCAGCCGGCGTGGCTCTGCAGTGGTGCATAGCTAGTTCCACCACGAGCGTGAGTCCAGCACATCGTTAGCTGTAGTTCCTATGGTGAGACTGCCTCACTGCACACCTAACTGAGGTCACACCTGCTGTAGTACTTAGCAGGATGGTTTGTACGGCATAAGTAGAAATACAGAATAAAAAAGCCTTTTTTTTTTAAGTTTTATAGATTGGAAAAAAAAGTTTGATGCTTTCAAGAAAAATTTTTGTTCAAGACCTTGCGATGGTGTGTGTCATCCATCAGTATCTTGGTACACTGGCTGATTGCTTGGACAATGATGATTGCCTAGTTGCTTTTCTGCTATTAGGTACATCCACTGGCTCTTCTATAAATGGAGAACGCCAGTCATTTGAGAGTTACAAGTAGGTTTCTTTGCTGCATATGTCCTGCAATTTTCTTTTCCTCTCTTCTTAAAAGTAGAAGGAATACTCCCTACTACCACACCACTGTTAATTGGTATTTGCTTCCTTTCTCATTTTCTTTCAGCTATTCATTTTCTTCTTACCTATTATATAATATCTAACTTTAGCATTTTATCTTTAGTAGGAGGAAAATTATTTCTCATTCTTTCCCCAAGACTTTTAAATCCTTTCATCTGGTTGGGCTGTGGCCGTAAACATTCTTGGTTTTTAGGTTACAGATCCTAAAACTGTTGATGAGGAACCAGTTCAGAGTGTCCTACCACTCCAGACTGTGAAAACGAAGCCTGAAGACAAATGGTACCAGAAAGTACAGCAGCTCAAGGTTCCTTTTTGATAGAATTTGATATTTGAAACATATATGTAAAAGCATTAAAGTTTGAATATTTAAAGCTATAGTCTCATTACTTTTAAAGTACCAATTACTGATAATAAATCCTTAGATATGTATCAGTAGATAATCACCAAAATGTAATGCATATGCTGCTTTATATACTGAATGATTTTAAATGAAAATAGATTCCAAATCCCAAGAAATTCTGAGCTCAAAGAATCTTATCTATTTAGGACATTAGTTGGTTGGTGATAACATACAAGTGCAAACTAGTACATGGTCAGGTTTGGTTCATGGGGATTCCAAGCTAGAACTTAACCAGTGTTGCATTACTTCTCCCCACGTCAGTCAAGGCATTCCCATAAAACACAAGATGTTTCAAGCGGAAAAAGTTGCCCTGGCCTCCTCTGCACACTGTTATAAAGGTGTTTTATGCTGGCCTTCGAAACCAATGCAGGGGGACAGTCTTTGGAGCAATAAAAGAGACCAGGTTATCATCACTATGAGAAACCAACAACTTCAGAACCAGAACTTCCAGCCAACTGGAATTATTATTGGCAAGCCTAGTCACTCTCTTTGCCTAACAAGCATTTAAAGTAAGTCAGGCAGGCTGTTTGAATTCCCCGCTGTTCATTTTAAGTCTGGGAGCTGCACTTCTGTAAACATTTTACATAAAGATATTATGCTGCTGTTCATCGTGAGAGAGATGCTTTATATATGGAATTTCAGAATGAAGGAGGCATTTTACAGGGCTGCTCATTGTGTTTAAATGGGAAAACATTGGCCTGGTCCCAGTTTGGCAGCAGTTTATGCTTTCCACCATGCCAGAACATTAATCGTTACAGCAGAGGTCGAGCTAACAAATCATCAACTTGGCACCAGGAGTCAGGATTCCCCAGTGCTAAAGCTTTCGCCAAAACATCCTGCTCTGTATGTGGATTTAATACCTACCATTAAGTAGTTATTCTGAGTGCATATGCTATGTCGTGATTGCAAGTGTTGCTAACAAAAGAACCCTAGAGAGACAGGAGGATGAAATGGAGGATTTTAGCGCTGACAAAGATTAAATGGACTGAGAATGGATTTGTATATTCCCTAGAAGGAAAGCCATGTCTTTCCTCAAAGTGGGCAACACCTGATGCTGTAATTGGAAAGAGATAAATCTTCAACCAACTCCAGATTTAGAGTACGTCAGTTTAGCTCAAGATAGTAGTCTTGGTGTGCTTAAACTCTTAAATTGTTTCTTATGATGTGGATTATGTTTTGGAGGATGCAGGGCAGAGAGGAGTCCTTGGTTTAGAAATTAAATCATTTTAATCATTGACATCAGTCTGTTTCTACCGTGGACCAGTCTAATAGTGTGTACATAGCCATCTGTTCCTGAAATTCAGTACAGTTTACTTTCATTAGAGGATAAAAACCAAGAACTGATTTGATTCTTGAAACGTTTTTCCCAGCTGGTTGACAGTGAGCTACAGGATTAGAAACAAGCAGTCCGATGCATTTAGGGCACCTATTTTTGCACCTCATTCGGATGAAACTCCCTTATTCTGTATTTACCACTGCATCATTTCTTAGATATGATCTGCATCTGTGAGGAATGATTTTTATAGTGTTCTGCTTCAGAATTTGTCTCAGGCCATTAAGCAAAGGTTTGATGCAGTATTATGCAGTGTCTGTGCAGCACCTGAAGAGCATCTGTGCTTCTGTTCTTGACTAGGGGTTCTTACGTATTTTAATTTTGGATTAAGTTTAGCCAGCCCATGACCTGGTCTAGCCACAGGCATAATTTACTGAGTCAGGGTTAGATAGAAGCAGCACGGAGTGATTTTGATGGGTCTAATCGAGCTTGTGCGAACAGACCTGACTCATTTTCGGTACATCGAAGAACTGTTACCATAGTCAGGACCCACGGCATACCTAAGTCTCTGTAAGGGCCCTTCTATCAGGATTTGGTTTGTTTATTCAAAAACCCCAAAGCCTTACACATGCCACACAGACAGACTGTTCTCCATACCACGTTAGACTTCAGGACACAGATACTTTTCCTTTTACACTTCACTCTCTGCTAAGAGCTCACTTTTAAAACAGATTTCCGTCGTGATACTCATTCAGTCATATAAAGCATTGCTCTAACCCTTTTCTAGCTGTGAGTGTACATGAAGCAGGGGTGGCTGGTTCCGTACTTCCCTGATTTGTAGAAGGACAGATGACTGTGCACTCCAGCCTGTTCAGGCTGTTCAAGTTCAACACATGTTCAAAGTTCAGTATGTGTTCAGGATTCAGCTTCATTGTAACCTGCACTGCTATTTAAGGTCTGTCTAAAATAGGAATGGTGTCCTCAACTAGCAGCACAGAACATGATGTAATCTGGTCAAGACAGCCATCAGTTAGTTAATTTGTAGAATTCTAAGAAATAGTTACATGAATGGCATTGTGGCAGTTAAACTGACCCGTACACTTGTACATCGTTGATCTTAATGAATATATAAAATAGCAATCACTGAAATTCACCCCACTTTTAATAACTTCTTTTAGGATTGTCAACATAAGGCCTACCAGAAAAAAAAAGTAGGACCCCACCAGAGTCACAAAGGGAGGGCTCTCCCAAGGAACAAAAGCCAACAACCACCAAGAAGACCAGCAGAACCAAAGTCTTGGCACCACAGGCACCACCAAATATCAGAATTTCAGAGTGTTCCCATGCAGGCAGTGGAGCAAGACAACAGCAGAGCACTGGAGAAACGGCTGTACGCAAATCCTTCTGTTGGCCCTGACACTAATGCAGCAAATTCAGATACTTGCTTAAATAATTTCCCAAATTCAAGACATTTTGTTAATCAGGATTTTACCACATTTGCTGATGCTTTTGATCCAACATTACATACATGTAACCCAGCAGAGGTTGTACCTCCAGTGTATATCAGCAAGGAGAACAAGATATATCAGCATGATTCTCCAAATGGACTTCCACGTGACCCGCAACATTTAAACAACGATGTCACTGTGCAGCTTTTCGCAAGAGATAACAGTACCAATGGTCAAGCACATCCAGATCAGAGGAATATTTCATCTGCTTTTAATGCCAAATTTCAAGAACCGGTGAAGGATGAAGTATCACTTCAGAGTTGCAAAAGACACATGTATGTGGATAAAAGGTACCAGAACAATGCTATCTGTAGTTTATGATAAGTATAAGTGTTAAAACAGTATTATCATAACACTCTGATGCCCAGAAAAAAATAGAAATGTATTGAAGTTGAATGTAGAAAATTATTTGCTAAAATCCTGCCACTATAGATTACTACTAAACATAAGAATCATTGTAAATATTAATTTTTAAATATGCTATTGGAAAAGGACAGTTCTGAACTCCAGGCTCTTACACACATCGAATTTTTCATGACTGAAAGATTTCTTCTGAAAGGCTAGAAGGAGGAGTTTAAAACACAGATCTCAAGGAGGGCTGTGCATAAGCTAAGTGTATCGCCAGCTGCACAGAGTTATAGCAAAACTTGCCTTGTGGGGTGAATATCCAGAGTCATTCCAGTGCCAGTTCTGACTCGCTACACATGGGGAAGGGCGTGACTATCCTTAGTTATGTAAAATTTCACCTGTCTTGTTAGAAATGTGTTTATTTCACATAGAAAATTGATTGTTTCAGTCCTCAGCAGCCCTGATCCAAAGCCATACAAGGCAGTTTTCATTCCATGTACAGATTGCATGTTGAGCTATCTGCTATATACAAATGAAAATCCTTAATTTCCCCCCTCTTTCTTTTTTAAGGCCTTCTCAGTCTCCTGTTCACAAGTCACCAACAGCCCTTTGTACCACCTCCCAAATGATTTACACATTTACACAAATGATGGAGCAACATCACCAAGAAATGACTCGTTTGAGAGAAGCTGTCTTACTTGACAGGCACTTGTTCAACCAACTTCCACCTATAATCCCACATGCAGAAAGTGGTTCAAAGGTAGTTCCAGAGACCCGTGAAAGAAATCAAGCAAAAGTAAGCCAAAGCAACTCAGAAGGATACATCATGCAATTGGAAAAGCAGAACCAGCCTAAAATCAGCAAGAAGGTAAGAAAACAGTGTGGATCGGATGGGTTATATTTCTGTTTTTCCCTCTGATTAATATTTTTTTAATAATCCAAAGATCTTCAAAAAAAAAAAGGAAATGGGGACTGAGAAATATTTCATTGTTACGGAGGGCGCACTGACACACACTGACTTGCTCAGAGCATGAAAAACAAAGGTGAAAACAGTTGCTAAAACCATTTTAGTCCACAGAGCAAAGCAGTTCACCACCACTACCTCTCCCTGTGTCAGTTCAGTCCCTGTGTTCGGTCTTGATTAGCTCTAAGAACACACAGAGCAGTGTTTGTCCTTTAAGTTATCCAGTCATAAAATGATTTAGAATAAAGCTATTTGTATAAAGCAGCAGGTAGCCAGGCCTCAGATCTGAGCAAACCATTATCCTGGTCATGCTCATTTGCTATCCAGCTCAAATCTCTTGGTTTCCAAGGGAATCAAACTGAACAACAAGAAACTTAGAGGATTTGTAAAGCTAACGGCATAAACATTATTGCAAGTCTCCTGATGATCCCACTTTGGTCCTTATTAAAACTTGGTTCTTTTTGTCTTTCCTCTGTGTCCAGTTTCAACCTGTAAGCAGTTAACACAGAGGCAGCGGAACAGCATAGAGAGATCCCTGTGTGTCCATGACAAATTAAATGTTTAAGAAGTTAGCTCCAAGTCTCAGGGCAGACAAACTAAGCTGGAATAATTACTGATGTGTTTCATCTAGGAGGCATTTTGTGTATTGCTGCCTGAATGCCTCTAAGAAGAATTAGCTGGATTATGATAGTAACTGAATGAAGGGCAGATTTCCTTCCCTTTCTGTTCCCCTGAGTTCAAACCATTGTTTCTGTCCTCTATTTTCAGTAGCTTTCTCACGCTTCATATGTGAGGAATGCCACAGATAATAAGACTGTTTATGTGTCTCAGAAAAATCCAGCTTTTCCTAATAAACAAATCCAGTCCTACTCATTGACAAAGTGAGAAAACCCTGGTTTTGTTGTGGACAGCTAAATGATTAACTCTTCACAGTACCTTGAATTAGAAGTTAGGTGTCAGTATTTCACAAAAGAATAGGGGTAACTGACACAGAGAAACATCAAACAGAAAATTCAGTGCTTAGAGTTGGTTGAGTTTAACTTGAACATGCCCCTTGAAGAAATGCACATTTGATTTGCATATAAACATTTCTCGGTGTTCCTGCATTACTCTGTGATTGAAATTACTAAAGAGTTGATCATGAGTTTCCACTGACAAGTTTCTAAAATGTAGTCCGGTTCTAGAAATTAATCCAGTGTTCTTGTAAGAGATTGAAAAGATTCTGGAAGTGTCAGGGTCTTTGTAGTAATGTCATGAAGTATTGAAATGGCATCACCCATCACTCTTCCATCTTCCCCGTGCACTAGTGAAGCTTTTGCTGTGCTGCAAGGCGTGTATTTTTCAACTGTCTGTGAACAATTTTCCATTGCAGTTTTGAGAACAAAAAAAGGTTACTATTGCTAATGACATTTGCCTGTTTTTTACCACCAAAATCAGCTACTTTTATCTGCTTCTCTTACAACAGTGCCTTGGAGTTTCATTCTAATAACAGTCCAGTGGGTCACTCTAAGCTGTTTAAAGCTCACAAAAATCATTTTTGAGTGAGAAAGTATTGCTTTGAGTTGCATGATTGGCAATTACCCACCTAGATTCAAAGGAAATACAGTGTAATTTGACTTGTGCAATTAACTCAGTCTTTTTGGTCCCTTTACAATCTTTAAAATGAGACATGCCAGAGGTAAGATTGACACTGCAAGTTGAATCTTGCTCTTATCGTGGGTGTCCAAGACAAGACTTCTTTAATTGTGCTGTCTGTGAAATCACATAAAGGAAAATCTGTCGGTGTTGGTTTTTTTCAGCCATGTATAAATCTGAACGTGAACCTTGGAGGCCTTGGACCTGACTATGAAGCCATCAGAGAGAAGGTAAGTGATCCCTATTATATGATCTGCTTTTCCCTTGTACAATGTCTGGGCTCCTGAGCTCAGGAAGGACAAGGAGCTACTGGAGAGGGTCCAGCACAGGGCCACTGAGATGATGAAGGGCCTGGAACACCTTCCATATGAGGAAAGGCTGGGAGAGCTGGAGTTGTTTATCTTGGAGAAGAGGAGGCTGAGGGGGATCTTATCAATGCTTATCCATATCTAAAGGGGGGGTGTCAGGAGGATGGGCCCAGGACCTTCTCAATGGTGCCCAGTGACAGGACGAGGGGCAGTGGCCATCAGCTGGGAAACAGAAGGTTCAGCCTGACCATGAGGAAACCCTTCTTCCCTGTGAGGGTGACAGAGCCCTGACCAGGCTGCCCAGAGAGGGGGTGGAGTCTCCTTCCCTGGAGACTTTCCAAAGCCCCTGGACTTGTTCCTGTGTGATCTACTCTAGGGGATCCTGCTCTGGCAAGGAGGTTGAACTAGATGATCTCTAGAGGTCCCTTCTAACCCCTTCCACTCTGTGATTCTGTAAATCTGTGTGTGTGAATCTGTAAAAACGTGAACTTAGGTGGGGGAGAATGGCAAAGAGACCACTGCTGAGGAGCAACTTGTGTTTGTCAGGTACTTTATGTCCTTGACGCTAGGTCTAGCTGGAGATCCTAAGGGGAGATTCACATAGAAGGGAAGACAACTGTTTTGTGTGGAATAATGTTAACCTTCTAATTTTGTAGTTCCAGAAGCAGGGAGTAATTCACAGAGTTC